GGAGAGAGGTCAAGGTGCACAAAGAGAAGAAAGACCTAGTAGAAAATAAAAAGGAAAGAGAAGAGCCCGTTTGGAGTTTGCCTGGATGAGTCAAAGCAAGGGCAGGCAGGTCGCCCAGATGGTCCCGGGGGCGCTGCCCCCAGGGGCACGGGAGCCGTCAATCACAGCCACAGAAAAGGCTTAGGGGGACGTTCAAAGCTTCTGAATTAACTCCACTGCTGCAAAGCGAATGAGTTTCCCCGGCAGCCGAGCAGAGCGCCCTGCAAGGCAGGGGCTCCAGCCCTTAAAGAGATGAGAGGCGTGTAAAGTGTGAAAACATCTGAACCAGCTTCTGCCATCACAGCTGCGAAGCCTGGACAGGGGCCGTTCAGAGCCAGGCCCCGGCCACCCCCTCAGCCTCCAGCGAATGAAACCAGCATGGGAACCCTGATGACTGATCAAAGGTCCAGCTTCCCGGGGTGTCCGCTGGCCTGGCCCTGCCCAGGTGGCAATGGAGCAGGGAGTGGGAGGGACAGAGAGGTCTGGCCTCCCTGACAGGGCGGGCCCAGCTTAGCTTCCCTGACAGGAAAGGTAAGATAGCCTCACCTTGACCCCAGATCCCCAAGCTCAGTTTCAAGGGTTCCTGAACACCATCCTCCCCGCTCCGCGGGCTGCAGGAGGACAGGAGGGGATGGAGGGACACTGCTTTTGCCAAAGGGTCCCAAGGAAATGCTTGACTTCCTTCGGACGTGAGCTTCCCACCTGGCCCTGAGCTGAAAGTTCTGACTGCCAGTCCCGCCTCCCTCTGGTCAGTAATGAGGCTGCATCCTCGGTGAATTGCCAAAGCTTCTTAATATGCAATATCATCCACTATCAAGTCATGCTACATAAGTACCTACATGTCAGTTTGTTCCTAAACTGTTAACTGAGTGCCCTCCTTCAGAAGGGCTGTGCCTAGCGGGTGAGACCAGCACCCACCAGGATTTCTGCTTTCTGGTCTAACACTCAGGCCCTGCCGTGCTGGGGGTGAGCGGACAGAGAAGGACTGAAGACTGAACACACGCACAGCTAGACCAGATACCATACTTGCCTTCCTATAAGCCAAGGGCGAAGATATTTGTGGAGCGGCACATACGTGTCTATGAGGAAGACGGCGCGGGGTGCAGAAGGCAGGAGGTTTTGTGTACGGATAAGGTGAGGGAGGGGAGGCTAGCAAATCCCGAGGGTTTCCTGCCATTGCTGGTGGAGGTCCCGAGGGGAGATTTTTGCCTGGTGGGTAGTGTTGCCTGTGGGATGTTACAGGACATGGGAGACCTAGAAGGGCGTTTGGAGGCGGAGAGAGGGCACGAGAACGCAGGATTCTGGGAGGGACCGGATCGAAGCTGGCTGGGAGGGGCGGCAACAGTAGGGAGCCTAACAACTTCAAGAGTTTTGTTAGGATCAGAGGCGCACTGGGGCTATGGGAGGAGGGCGTCGTGAGAGTCTGGGCGGCGGGTGGCCAGGCTGCGGCAGAGATGCAGAAATTCACACAATACGGAGGGACCGTCTGGATCAAGGGCCTAGGACAGCGCACTGCACTTGAGGTGCTACTCTAGTTAGACGGTGGCAGGCGCTGCGACCCTGGCCGACCTTAACAGGAAGCACCAGAAGGAGGAAGCAGGTAACAGGAAGCTTTCCCATGGCCTCTGTTTTTGCGCTTTCTAAGCTCATGGTCTGTCTGCAGCGCACACTGAGCACAGGATCCTTACGCGTGCTCACGGAGCTTCCCCGTGTTGGACGGGAACAGGCGGAGGGTGCACGGCACGGCCACTATCCTGCCCGGTGCGCCCCCCGCGCAGGGCCAGAGCCATTACTGTTCCTCTGCTGAAGCGGGAGGAGGAAAAAGAGCCTCCTCATTTTTAATAACTTTATTCCCCAAACTTCAAAAATGAAATTGCCAAGTTAAGAATTTGCCTTGGAAAAAAAATTCTAATTTATTATAAAGAAGGGCCGGGGCTTGGGAATTTTTTTAATGCAGATTCCTAATTTTCCAAAGTGAGGTTCTCCTGTGCATTTGAATAGATTACGCTCGGCACTGCTGGCTCTCAGCACAACGGGAACGTTATTAAAACGACTCCACGGGTCTCCGAGGGAGGGCTCCGCTCCTCGCTCCCTTTTTCATTTTGGGGACTTCACATTAGAGACTGTCCTTTTTGACTGTGGAAGAAATTGGGTTTCCGGGGAGGTGATCTGAAGATGTGTTCAATGGTGCAGGCCTTGAGGAAACAAGTCCTGCTGGGTCCCCAGGTAATGAGATTAGGCCTCAAGGATGGGGATGATGTGGGGATCCTCGCCAGATGGCCTTGTGCGCCTGCCCTGTGCTCTCACTGGGCCTGGCTTTCCTGAGGACACTGAGTGCCAGAGAGCGGCTGGGCTTCCAGCATGATGAGCACTCGAGGGCCGCGGAGCAGGGCTTCCTCCGAGAAGCGGGCCCAGCCTCTGGACATCACAATGGGAGGAAGGCAGGAGGGCCAGAGCAGGCGCCCCAGCAGAACACTCACAGGGAAGACATCTCTATGTGCAGGCCACTCTACGCAGCCCCCTAGAGTGGGGAGAAGAGCCCTCCAAAAGCCGGCTGGCCTCCAAGTCTAGCCCCGGCCAGAGAGATGGCCTTTTCCGGGAGCCTTCGTGCTGGCTGCCTATCCCGCCACCACCCGCCCACCACTCCATCGCTGCCCTAACTCCTCCCATGATTCCTGGTTCAGACTGGTTTCCTTGGGAACCAGCTCCGGCCTAGGGAAGCCCGTGGCAATCTAGCCATAGCCTAGCGGCCTAGCCGAGGCCATAAGGGTCCAACCTTGGCCTAGTCGCTTTGCATGCATGCTGAGATTCCCTGCCAGAGTCTTCACTCCTGGATATCTGGGGTCACAGATAGGTGTGCGGCTTCCCCAGGGCAAATTACTCCCTTGCTGTAAGTGTGATTGATCGATTGATTTATCTCCTTCCTTTTTTTAAAAAAATGTGAGTAGTTTCGATGGTGAAGCACTGATGACCCTTCGCAGAGGAGAGCCTTGAGACAGTCCCTGTGTTGGGGAACAGGAGCCTCCCTTTCTCACCCAAAAGGCCAGAGCAGCTCAGGGGTGGCTCCCAGGGTGCTGAGCGCCCCAGGACGGTCTCTGTGCCCTCCTCGGGCAGTGGGGACGCAATGACGCTCAGCGGCAGGCGAGGCGCCTCTGCCTGCCCTCACGCGGACCAGCGTTTGTGGGCAGCGCAGCCTCTTCCTGCGGCCCCCTGTGGCCTGCCGCCCTGTCCCCGAGCCGCAGGTGTGGCAGTGAGGCCCTTCGTGCCACCACCTGGTGAATGCAGGCAGTGTCTTATCACCACGCCCGCTGCTACGGGGGGTCTTGGGGCGCAGCATCCCACTACAAAAGAAACAGCCAAAGTTCCTGCCTCTTTACCAGCACCCCGGGGTCCCCAACGCTGCCTGAGCAGGGGACGTCAGGGTCCTGCGTCTACTGAGAAGGATGATGCTTGTCCCCGTTGCGGACGCTGGGTTCCCAGGTCTCCACTAGTCCAAGCCGCCTGTTCTTCATTCTCTCTGTTAAGGAATGGACTGTTGCCCGCCTGGAAGCTTTCACTGGGGAGCTGTGTCAGGGCCGAGTCCCGCCTGGGGATCCATGGAAAGCTACTGACAGGGCGGAGGGTTTGGGGACGTGAGAGCGGGCTGCGGGGTGAGCCGGGAAGGGGCAGAGTAGATACGTGGGAGCAGCGGTGGGGACAGAAGGACCTGTGCCCGAAAGTTGGCGAATGGCCCTTCTGCAGGCTGAGGAGTCCGTGGGTTTACTTGCTGGACACTGTGTAAAGTGTAATTCCATGGGGGAGGGATAACAGGACGGAGAGAGTAGCTGCTATGTGCTCCCTCCCGGCGGGGTGTCAGGGCCGGAGGACCTAACGTGAGCAAACGTCCGCCTACCCTGTGATCACATGTTAACGCCCAGCTCTGCTGCGTGGACCTTCTGTGTGGTCCACAAGAGCAGCTGTGGTTGGAGTGGCTACTGAGGGGGGATATCAGGGCAGGGTAGAGGCGGGGAGGAGTGAGAAACACGGCCTGGCGCACAGCATCACTGCACGTTTGCTAAATGAATGAATGAATAGTCTAGCTGGCTGCATTTCACATGACAGAGACTCGATAAATAATTATTGAATTAACATTGACTTGCGAGACCAGGATGGAGAAAACAGGACAGTGTGAAGGTCAAGGTCAGAGGATGGAGGCTTCCAGAAAGCGCAGCATCACAACTAACTCAGAGTCTCAGAAGAACGAAGTGTGGGGCGAGGCGCATGTCGGGGAGCAAAGGTTAGAAGTGACCGGCCCAAGAAAGCTGGGCCACCTTCCAGGAGGAGGGGAGGAGGCAGTAGGAAGACGGGGCCAAGACGCCGCCTTCCACAGAAGCTGCGGCCAGATGGGAGTCTCTGAGGAACTGGGGGGCTGCTGTCTGAGCTGAGGGACGGAAACTGGGGACCCAAGGGAAGGGTAGGACGGCGTAGAGAAACAGGCCTGGCCTTTTCCTGGGTAGAAGCTGAGCGAGTCCTGAAGAGAAGGGAGACTCCCCCAATAGGCAGGCAGAGAAGGATGGACAGGGGGGCTCTAGTGACCATGAATGGGGGAGCCGATATAAAGCAGCCTCTGGTTAAAAAGTTTCCCCAAACACTCGAAGGCGGACTCCATTTACCTGCGTCTCCCCAAGTAAGGAGTTTGGAGCATTTGTCTGATTCTGCTGTGAGCGGGAAGCAGTGTTGGGTGGGGACAGAACCATGACTTGGGGCTCCAGGCAACGGTCCTAGATGCTGGCGAGTTACCCAGGTAGGATCCGAACCCTGTGTTTGCCAAGTGCAACGACTTCCTCCCAGGGCCTGCGTTTGCGGGGCTCTCTCTGGAGAGGCCTCCCCAGGCTGGACAGAGAAGAGCGCAGAGCACGCCAGGCCCTGCCCTCGGCCCCTGCAAGGCCACGCACCCCTCCCGTCGGCTGGTGGGCACTCACCTGTGGACTGTCCTGGTAGGGTGGGGGAGGGACATTTTGCGTGGCCATCATCGTCAGAGCTGGGGCTGGGGAGGCATGTTGCATCATGGGATTGATTCACATCAAGGATCTGTGGCAGGAGAAAGGGGGCCACATGTTAATACTGAGCACTGGGAGCCGGGGAACCAGCGGGTGGACATCTTCTGAGGCTGGGCCACCCGGACTAACCAGACACAGCAAGGGATGAGAGCCCTTCGGAGGAATGACTGGGAGCTACTGGGAGAGGCCTGGGAGGGGCTCGCTGTGAGATTTGACTTGAAAGAAACGATATTCAAATCAGATGTAAAGCAACCTGTACAGAGCCCTGCTTAGTTCAGCATCAGCTGGGGGCAGGGGTGGGGGTGGGGAGGGGGGCCGGGCAGGGAGGAGAGGCGGCGGGGACATGGCTAGGGGCAGCACAGCGGCTTGGAGGCCGTTCAGGCACCGGTGGGACGAGGGTGCTTTCCCCGTCCCAGGCCTCCCGAGCAGCCCCCGGCACTGTGGGGGCAGGGAGGCCTCGCCTTTTCAGCTCCAGGCCCCACCTCTCTGCCCGCTCCCAGGTGTGCTCACCACACCCCCTAGTGGTGGGAAGGGATGTGGGGCTCAGGTCCCCTTCTCAGACCAGAGGGTGGAGGACGCAGCCCTGGGGACCTGTGAACACCTGAGAGCCTGGGGAGCGCCCAGCACCTGTGGGTCTTTCTACGTGTGTGTTTGTGATTATGGGCGTGTGGAGGTGCTGCCCATTCTGCAGAGGGAGGCTTTCCTTGTCTGCCCTCCACGTGGAGTCCCAGCCATGCAGGGCCAGAGGCGCCATTGGAGCCCAGTGGTCCTCCCCCTTCTTATGAGGTGGAGCCAGAGGCCCAGGGGAGTGATGTGTGTGTGTGTGTGTGTGTGTGTGTGTGTGTGTGTGTGTGTGTGTGGGGTGGGGCGCTACTGAACAGGGATGGAACCCAAGTCTCCAGGTCCCAGTTCCTGGTCTGCTCTCCTGCATCCCCGACGCCCAACCCACAAGGGGAAGCAGGCTGCGCCCACTGGGCCTCCAAGCTTCCTCTTGAGCCAGAACGTGCTGCTGTAAGTGGAGGCAGCCTGGCAGTGCCCCCCCAAGGTAATAGGATGCCCAGAGAGCTGTTTAGCTCAGCAGATGCCCTGAAATATTTAGAGCTGGAAACCACAGGCTAGCTTCCTGATACAGGCCTGTCATTGTGGGGCATGGTGACGCCTCAGAGCTTCGGCGTGAGCAGGGCCTGCCCCCCAGAGGGAGGGTGCTGATGAGCCGAAGACCTTTGTGAGCACAATACGCAGACTTGCTTCTCCCTCTCGCTCTCCCCACCCCGCGCCCTCGGGGGCCTGATCCCCTCTCACCACGCCCTTCCCCAGCGTCTTTCAGAATGTGCATACTCCTGAATTCTGTGGGAATGTGAGGGTGTTCTGGAGCTGCCTGAGTAGGGGCCAGGGGGCGGTTCTCCAGGGCGCTATGTGGTGTGATGTGATGTGATGTGATGTGTGTGTGTGTGTGTGTGTGTGTGTGCTTTTTCAAGAAGAGGAGAAAAGGTCAGTTCTGGCTGACCCCAGTCTCCGAGGTACCATGTATGCTTGACCTTAAGTGCACACGTGAAAGCACTGCAAGTCCAGAAAGTCATTCAAATAATACCGATAAATGTCAACTGTGTGCAAAGAACGGCACTGTGGGGTATGGGAAGATGGATGAAAGGAAGCAAGGTCTTCTGTACAAGGGGCACTGCGAGTGGGGGCAGGCAATGGTCCAGCGGAACGGGGAGAGGAAGCGGAGGTTCCCGGCCGAGGTGGCGTCTCCTGTGCCGGCAAGGCTGGACGGCAGGGCATTCCTTCCCCGTCGCTCCTGCTGCCGCCCCGGCCTTACTGCAGAAGGTGGGCCCCCTGGGTGTTTCTGCAATAGAGGCACCAGGGCCACCCGGTCTCACTGAGCCCTGAGACCCAGATTCACAGAGAGGCTCCGAGAGGCCCAGAGCAGGGCCCAATCTTTAGAAAGGGAACCGATACCCGATTGTATGTCTGGGCCTCCGCCTGGGTGGAGGTAACCATTCGAGGAAGGCAAGGACAGAGTGAAAAGTTCCAGAGGGGAAAAAAGAAGATATAGGCTCCTCGAGACACTGAAAAGAACTTCCAGAATTAAGGGTTTTGAGAGACTCGAATGGGTGCGGAATCTCTCCTTTCGACCGAGGGAATAAAGGCAACGGGGTATTTCAGGGGTGTGTTAGGCTTGCCTTTCCTGGGACTCTGGCAGATGAAGTAACATTTAATGGGCCCACGGGTCCTGAACACAGATCCCTTCTGTGGACACCGATGTCAAATGCTCCTTCCCAGGAAGAAAGCGAACCTCCGTGGGGCTGTAGTGCCAGTAGCCTCCAGCAGAGGGAGCCTGGGAGCAGAATCTAGGGTGGGAGCTCAACAGGCGGTTTTCCGGGCAGCTAGTTCCGTCCTACGTGGGGTCTGGGTCATTCTGTAACCTCATTCCAGGATGAAAAAGTCATAGTGAAGGCAAAACGAAGGAAGTGAAATGAGAGGAGGATTTGGGCTAAAGGGAGGTGCCTTTAATCTGCATTCTTTTGTTCACTGTCCAATGAATGGGAGGTCAGGTCACTGTAGAGTCACTGTCCCTAGAAATATTTGCAACACCATGAGGCCCAGCCTTCCTGGGGGTTGGGAGGGGTGGTTAGGAGTGGTCTGCACCCAGAAACAGCTGCATTGAGACTGAGAGGAGGTTTTCCAGTCCAGAGCCAGCCTGCTGGCCTCAGAGGAGGCAGGAAAAATTTTCCAAGGATCCAGATGGCCATTGCCCCTCCCCGTCCCCCCCGGGGTCACCACAGGCCACTAGACCACTGCCCCATTGCCCTCTGAGGCTTCTCCTGCAAGAGAACAGAAGGCCTTTTCATCAGGGGCTTAAGTTTCCTTCTCTGCTCACTCAGGCTCAGAAGCCTTTGGTAACCTGACACTGCAGAGACCGGTGTCCACCTTCTTTTTCTTGTTTTAATCCTCACCCAAGGATGTATATTTATTGATTTTAGAGAGAGAGGAAGGGAGCAAGTGGGGAGGGAAAGAGAGGGGGGAGAGAGAGAGAGAGAGAGAGACAAATACTGATCCGTTGCCCCCCTATCCAGTATGTGCCCTGATCGGGGATTGAAGCCACAACCCAGGTACGTGCCCTGACCAGGGATAGAACCGGCAACACTTTGGTGTGCGGGACGACGCTCCAACCAGCTGAGCCACCCAGCCAGGGCAGGTGCCCACCTTCTTTTCTTCACCAGCTCCCCAGCACACATGTGCTGCCCCACCCTTGGGAAAGCCCGCCAGCTAGGCTTGGGGCGTGGGGGGCAACGTGGAGCCATCTGGGGAGGAATGTGGGGTCTGACTCCTCTGGCCGGAACCCCCACAGCTGGGGTGTGGGCAGCTCCTGGAGCAATCTCTGGGTGTCTGGCCCTTCGGGGACGCCCACCCTTCCTGCACTTTCTTTGGGAGTGGAAAGGGAGCAGCCCTCGGCTTCTGAGCATGTGTCAGGGGCTGGGAGAAGCTGCACCGCCCTGTCCAGAGGCCCCAGCGCTCTGTTACCAGACACCAGGGCACCCGAGGGAGTACAGCCAAGGCTGCAAATGGAGAACACACTGGGAACAATTTACCGCAGGGAAATTTCCCATCGAGGACAGGCTCACGTGGAAAGATTGCTTTTAATGCTGAAAACCTTTATTATATGACAGCTAGGAGGGGGGAAAGCACCCTAATGCAACACTCAACCCCACATGATATCCAAGGAGAAATAATTTGTGTCAGTGATATTATCATCAAAAGGAGCTACAAATGCCATTTTCCAGATCTGGGGAACCTGTGAGGCAGTGTGCCTGGGCTGGGGTGGGGGCGGGGCACGGAAGGGCACAGAAGAGGCAGGAATGGGCAGCTCTGTCTCCCCAGCGCTGTAGCTCCCCCAGCCCTGCAAGGGAGGCCCTCAGTTTGCAGCCCAAACTGCAGCCTGTTGACAAACAGGCTTAGAAACAAAAGAGGAAGCTCGTTAGGAAGAAGCTCATTAGGACTTGTTGACATGAAACCCATTAGGCCAATTAACATTCCATTAACGGCCTGGGGCATGGAGGGGTTAATGCTGCCCCTAGTAATTGGGCTGGGGTGCTGGGGCTGGGGGCCCAGGGCCTTAAGGATGAGAAACCAAGTCTAATTGGGAACTCTCTGGCCAGCTGGCCCCACAGCATCTGCTCCTGCTCCTGCTCCAGCCGGCTGAGACCACACTGCATCCTGACTGAAGTGGGGTGGGGGAGAGGGACCCGCTCCCCTCTGGTTCTCCACGGTCCCACCCCCGCTCCAGACTGGCGACTGGGCACAAGGACACGGAGGGGAATATTTCCGCCCTCTTGGGCTCTTGGACTCTGAGAGTCGTGCTTTCCTCATCCAGCCCCCCCCCCCCCCCCCCCTTTCTGGACCAGTTTCTTATTCCTGGGGAAGTCAGTCCCCTTGCCTCTCAGTTAGATATGACCTGCCTCTCACCAAAACTCTTTGGAAGAGCTAGAATCCTTGAGACCAGAGTCTAATCCATAGGAAGAGCATTGTAGGTTAGGATAGAGGGATGGGGGAGGGAGCCCCGGTCTGGGCCAGCCAGCCTTCCCTCCCTCCCACCCTCCCCTGCTTCCTTCCCTCCCTCCCCAGCCTGGCAGCTAAGAGGCACTGCCCAGGGTCCCTCAGGAGCCCTTCTCCTCTGCCCTCTGACACAGTAGCAGTATTTTCATTATTTTCCTTCCCTTGCTACAAGCAGAGGCTATAGAAGTCCTATTCTCTGCCTGGGCCTCAATTTCCTCATCTGTAAACCCCCCCATCCCCCCACCCCAATCAGAGCCTGTGCTTGGGGTCAAACGTGTGGATTCCACACCCAGCTCTGTCACTTCTTTGTGGCCTGTACAAGTCACTTTCCCTCTCCAACTGCAAAATGAGGGATTTCACCAGAATATTCTGAAAACTCTTTGCCTATGGTTAGTTAGCACCGAACACAAGCTTAGCTGAACGGACTAGAAACAGTTGGACCGCAGCTTGAGAGCGAGGGAAGGAGGCCCCTGA